CATGGCAACCTTGAACCAACGCCTAACTTGCCATTATGGGTAAATTTTGTTTTGATAAAGTCTCACAGTGTTATACAGTAATGTTTACTGATGACAACGTTTCGAGTACAATTTATTGCTCATAATCATATCAAGGTAATCACACGACTTCCTAACTTCATTTATATAGTTCCATTATTTTTCACTTGATTTGATTGGTAGTAGTATTTTCCATATTTCAGGTATGAGTGATGAATCATTCCTATTGCATGTGTTTTTGGTGTAGACTCGATGAACGAGAATTCGGTAATCAACCTCTCTCTCCCCCTATCTAGATTACTTTTTAGAATTTTAACCTTCTCTCACCATCCTATTGTGTGGTTGTATGTTAATGCATGCATTGCAATTCCTGAGCTTTTTTCTAAATTACTTATCTTCTCGGGGTGAACTATTCTTACCTTAGCTAAATTCTTATGTTCTGACTACCTCGAGAAGATAAGTAATTTAGAAAAAAGCTCAGGAATTGCAATGCATGCATTAACATACAACCACACAATAGGATGGTGAGAGAAGGTTAAAATTCTAAAAAGTAATCTAGATAGGGGGAGAGAGAGGTTGATTACCGAATTCTCGTTCATCGAGTCTACACCAAAAACACATGCAATAGGAATGATTCATCACTCATACCTGAAATATGGAAAATACTACTACCAATCAAATCAAGTGAAAAATAATGGAACTATATAAATGAAGTTAGAATGTCGTGTGATTACCTTGATATGATTATGAGCAATAAATTGTACTCGAAACGTTGTCATCAGTAAACATTACTGTGTAACACTGTGAGACTTTATCAAAACAAAATTTACCCATAATGGAATTACACTCTACTACAGTGCACAATTTTTACTCTTATCTTAACTTGTCATCTCTAGCTCAGGTTCCACTCAAGGGACTGCCACGTGATATCCTTCAATCTCACCTAGCTTACTAGTTCACTGTTTTACTAGCCAAACTTAATCTGTGAAAAAAGATGGAAGGCCGGCGTAGGGCTAGTGACTCTGCCCTGGAAAATCAATTCAATCGCTAAAGAGACTTCAAAGCACTGAATGTTAGTGAATATGTGTCTGGGAATCCAGCTGTTATTTAGATCCATAGCCTAACAGCAATCAAGTTGTACTCTTCTGTCAACTATTTTCAATCACTGATACTTCTCTAGTTATTAATTCGGTACGCAAAGAAAGTGAGACATTCAACTTTCTGATGCAGAAGGTAATCCGAATGGAAATCTCAATGAACCCCGTCTACATTAAATTATCCCTATTATTTACTATTACATATTTTATTCCATTACGTTCCCAATGGAACATGGAGTTTCAAGCTAGAGGCTTCAAGTTTCTGTAGCAATAATGATTACTTTTACAGGATGGGGTTGCTAGCCTCAGGCCCAACCCTCCCTCTTTACCAATCTTATTACTGGCTTGGCGAGGTGAAGGAGTGATGTGGCCGAGAATCAGACCCCGAACTACATGCGTGGTCGGTGTGCATTCTACCGCTGTGCCACCGACACATCTACACTAAATAATATTTCCATTTATGTGGAAGGAATAAAATTAAATTATTTCCTCATGATTAAAAGTCATGTCTTTTCCAATATCGTGAACGTAATTCCATTAGATTTGATTCGTAAAATCTAATTATTTGGTTCTGCCTTCACTAAAAAGAATACTAACATGAATAATTCTATTAATTGCAGTATTTAGTTTATAGGTTCCCTACTAATCGCAACACTAGTTGTCTTTGTTTCAAAAGTTCACAGTCATACTAGAAAATAGCAGCGTATATAACTCCAGGTCTGCTTGAATCACTAGGCTACCTGCAATGCATAAATTCTTCACTATTTCTTATTTTTTTATTAATTCAATTATGTTTTCTTTGGATTGTTAGATGAATACGCGCACATTTTAAATCTAATGTAACGTAATACAAAGTCCTTCTAAAAACAGTCTGGGGAAAACATAACAGAGGACCAAGTGTTGCTTAAGAAGTAACAACTGAGCGTCACACAAGGTAATTCTGAATACTGTTTTACTATGGATACCTTGAAAGAAGAGTAGATATCTGGCAATTTAAATACACCTAAAATTCTGTACTGTATTGTCAACTGTTGGTCTTGTAGTGATTTTGGTTGTTTGTTTGGTTGAAGGGTTTCCTTATGAGCTGACATCAGTTAGAGAACTATCGGAGAACCTGTGAGTACTGGACAGCTGTTTCGTCCTAGTATTGTACTCTTAAGCACTACGCATCCCCACACGAGTTTGAACCCAGGCTCTTCCGGTTACAAGGTGAGCTCGTAGACCATTTAGCCACTAGTGAGATCTGACCTAATGGCCACTCCATGAATTCTAACTTCTGCCAATTCATGACATGCTTGAAAATTGATCTGATGCTCAGTGGCGACTGGCTCAATTTACTCAGTCACCTGGCTGTCTAATGAGAAGCCATGACCAGTAGGGTACAGCAGCCTGAAGTTGAAGGCATTTACTTATCGAAGAAGATTTCGCGAAGTAGTCGCACTATGTCATGAATTAGCAGGACTTAGAATTCATGGGTTGACCGTTGGATCGATTTCCAATGGCTTATTAGTCTACGAGCTAGCTTATCTTGTAACCAGCAGGTCTTGGGTCGGAACCCATGTGGTGGATCCGTACTGCGTAGAGTCCCAGACTAAGCTAACGAAACGGCTGTCCAGGACTCCCTGGTGATTTTCCGATGATTTTCTAACTGATGCCAGTTCATTTTGAAATCCTCTAATCAATTCTGTACTATATGTTAACATACAGTCTAGAGTAAAGCTATTAATATTAAATCTGCACGACAGATACCATTTGCTAAGAAAAAACATGCGTCACATAACTCGCTTTGCTACTGCAGTCTATGAATTACTTCTTTGAAAACTTGAGGGAAATGAAAACGTAGTCTGATGCATTTCCAGCAATAACTCTCCCGTGATAGTCAATGAGAAAAGTGTTACATTGATAATATTATAATATTGCCATTATCCCAGACAGTGTGCTTGATACAATGTAGAATTTCGAGTATATATCACAGTAGTGCATTTAATTTTCTCTTTACATTGTAACAGTGGAAGTAATTGAAAAGGGTATTTAAACCAATATTGTTACTCAATAAAAAATGAATATAAAATTGAATTTTAAGTGGAAGTATGAACAATAATGATAATAGTCAAAATAAAGAACAAAAAAGGTCCTTTACTTAGTGTTTTGCAGTACGTTAGTAGTACCATCATTCCTTAGACTATTCTCGTCGCATACAATGTTTACCAAATAAAGTATTTTAGGAAATTCATACTAAGTTGTCCAAGCTTAAAGTCATTTATAATTACTTATAGTCCTAGCTGTTGAAATACATGCAAGGAGAGAGTTGTATACAAACAGGATTCTAACAGACAGACAAGATCATTTTCAATAATTTCTTGCCTAATTTCAGTCGTACACCTACAACAGTATTAACGAATCAGCTTAGAAACGTGAAAGATTTAGAGAGAACAATAAAGAGGAATACATAGGATGAAAAAAAATTAGCAAACTGTAAGATTAGAAACTGATTGATACCAGATTTTCAAGTATTGGTTTTGTAGGGATTTTGCTTGTTTGATTGATTGGAGAATTTCATCATGAGCTGACATCAATTAGAGAACCATTGGAAAACCTGGGAGTACTCAACATCTGTTTCTTCAGCATAGATGGGATTCTTCACAGTACTAACCTACCGGGGTTCAAACTCAGGACCTACTGGTTACAATGCAAGCTGATTGACCAATAACCTCTGTAACTAGGAGGTCCTAGGTTCGAACCGCAGTGGGTTCGTACCGATGAAGAGTCCCAAACAAGAACGAAACAGCTGTTGGATACTCTCAGGTTTTCCACTGGTCTTGTAACTGATGTCAGTTCATGATGAAATCTTCCATTCAATGTTACCAGATCGCCTTAACTTCCTTACGCAAAGGAATAAACAAACTATCTGTTCAGAAATAAACATGATGTGGGGAACCAAGAAAGATCAGACGCGATACACAGTCAAGGGTATACAACATTCAACTTCTTTTTAACTTCACTGTCTATTATGATACGAGAATCATGGGTAAGATCCAGTTCATATAAATCATGTCTGTGTCTGGTGGTGAGATTAACAATCTGACACTTTGAGAGAGAGAGAGAGCTGAAGACAACTTGACAAATACCGCTGATGAATTACTGATAAAAAGTCACTGATTCTGGAACAATCTGTCTAACAAGTAACTGGGATGGAAACAGTCAGATCATCAGCAAATATAATAAACTAGGCTTCATCAGAGTAAGGTAAGTAAGGCATGCAAGAAGAAGGAAAAGAGAAAATGAGGAACACCGAGTAGAATTAGTAATGCAGTAGAAGACTATCCACTGCATAGAGTATACTAATTTCCATATTGGAAATAAGAAGGCAACCACTTATTAGTTCAACACACTGCATGTATCGCAGCAAGCTCATTCAACAAAAGAGGACCGGGTGCAGGGTCAAAGGCAGACATGTAGTCAAGAAAGTCATAGAGGACATATTTAACACCTGTATCTAAACTGGAGACAATATTATGATGTTTGAGAACAATGGCACCTAAAGTACACCCACGGTATTTACAAGCAAATTGTTACGGGTCATTAAGAAGTCTTCAATGAAGTTTCAAGACTAAGTAAAAGTAGTTTTTCCATTATTTAGAAAAAGGTGAAGTAATGGCAAAAGGTCTAACCTTAATACCTGACTCACTTGATGATAATTCCCCTTTTCACACTACTTGCCAGAGTTTATTCCAGCTAACCTTGGTAACCACCTACTATATTAAAATAACCAAATTCTGGAGTTTATAATCTGATGTGAAACCTGAAAATAAAGTCTAATAATTAACCTTCAAATCAACACAACACACAAGATTAAGCAAAAAATATCTTTGGAAAACAACCTACCCTCATGATTTTAGTGCCTATCCGTGAATTTTCTTTAACTTCACTTTTGTAGAATTGTTTTTCAAAGTCTGGTTCATTATCATTTGCATCTAGTATTTGTAAAGTGATTGTCATTGTAGCTGTTAGGCTTGGCGGCTTCCTTAAAGACGATACGGAATAGTTCGCTGATAAGTATGGCTCCATATGCATAAATGAATTTTGTGGCCCCGAAGAAAATGACGCTGTAGTAACACCATCCCAACAATGTATAATTGCTTCATATGTTTCTGGTCCATTTTCACGATCAAACTCATTTCGGCTGTATAGCGTAAAACGCTGATAGACATGGGTTTCTGAACTAGATGATATAGATGGATTTACTGGTAAGTAGTCAGTGTCAGTATGAGATGTTTCTTGTAATGCAGATGACGGGGATGCAGACATTGAACGCTGATTTAGGTAAATTGAATCCTGAACAAAAAGGATAGGTTGTTTTCTACGTAGATCAGGCGGCTCTTCACATTGGACTTGACCATTGACTTCAGGACTATCATGATCAATCACCAGAAGCTATAAGAAGAAATGTAAGTCAATAAGATGCATTTATTTTAAATAAATCGTTGAAAAAAGACAGTTTTTAATGCCTTAAGCTGAGTGATACCCGATGATAAAAGTGTCACGCGGAAGATGATAACTTTTAGAACAGCAAGTGTTAAGCAACGTGGTACTGTCAAACATTCCATCTTGTATACTTAATTGTTCAACACAAAATTGATAATAAAAATAAAAAATTTTTTATAGTTGGTTTGTAAGGATTAGTTTTGTTTTTATGAATGGTCGTGGATTGATACCAGTTAGAGAACCATTGAAAATCAGGGAGTACTGAACAGCCGTTTCATCCTAGTTTGGGAATCATCAGCAGTACACATCCACTGAGGTTTCCTGGGGTTTTAGTAAGAAGTTGTGACCAGTGAAGTTTCTCCAGTCACATGTGAGGATGGATGCCACACAAAGAATATTGGTTTGGGTTGCGCTAAATAACGAATTGATAAAAGTTTGAATTCATGAACTGGTCATTGAATTGGGTCCCAGTGGCTGAAGGGTATACGAGCTAGCTAGCCTTGAAACCAGAAGGTTCTGGGTTCGAACCCTCTGCTGTGGATGCGTACTGCCGATGATTCCAAAACTAGGAGGAAATAGCTGTCCAGCACATCAGCGCTGATTTTCAATGATTCTCTAAATGATCTCAATCCATGATCAACTCGTAAAAATAATAATAATAAAAGTCACTTTATGCGAAAAAGTATTTTTCATACTTCTGTAGATGCCTCGGCCTGTAATACAATATCACATCTAATAAGCTCTTCTCATTATATAAATGAAGGGAAGAATAATTAAAGAGCCTTTGTGATGTCTAGATTAATAATAAATAATTAAATAAAGAATCAACAAAATAAGGTTACTGACAAAGAAGTGGTAACTATAGAAAGAATGAAAACACCCATTTAATATGATCAGAGAAAAAACAAACGTTGGTGCAGAATAACGTAGATTCATTTTATGTTCTCCTTTGCTCTCATAAACTGCACGCAACCTATAATCCTTAATAAACAAAAGTCAGCGTAAAAGTGAACATACCTGTGTGCATCAATAAGCATATTATAAGGGTGTCATGGTTTGATAAAGCATCAGTATGATAACGTAGAGGAAGTATTACAGTGTAAATATATATTTGTATCTTTTTAGGGAGACGTTTCTTGAAAATCATTTGACAACTTTGTTGTTAGGGTAATAGCAAGAAAAAGTAGTTGCCATTGTGTATTTCAATAAGAGAAGACAAAAATTCGGTATGCAGGAGGTCGAATGAAAAGATGATGATGATGATGAAATATCACAAGGTCAAGAAGAATTATCTCTTATGGAAGTCACACTGGGAATAAAAGGGAGGAACTGAAAGCATAAGTTAGTGAAACGAGAAGACCTTATAGTTATCAAGCGTTCACTTACAGATGCCTTTTGCACACATAGTTCAGGTCCCGTCTGTTTTATTGTGATAGTCTCAGCGAACCTAAGACGACTTGAGCTTTTTATTATGAATGATGAGGGAGCGTCTACTCGGTGTGCTGTGTCTATCAGGTGTTTGATAATTGAAGAACTTAAAATGCTTGGTCTGTTTAACCGGAAGCTGCTTGATACGTGCTCGAAGAATCTGACGCAGGCCCTTATTTCTGCTCTTCCAGCATGTGAATTCATTTATCGAACTACGTAATCGTCACTACCTTTTTTGTTGACACTCTGACAACAAACTTGTTGATTAATTTTCAAGAAACTTATTCAGCTTTCTGATCATCTTAGTGTTTTATCTCACTATGACCCTCTTACAATATGCCTGTTGGTGAACAAATGTATGTTAAAATTTTACACTGGTTTATCTTATTATGGAATCTATGCGTCTGTGATGGTTCGTCCGCGGTTCGATCCCTGACCAAAGACGCTATCCTTTACCTCTCTAAGCTTGTTATAAGGCGAGCAAAGAAGAAAGGTTGAACGTGAGGCTAGCAACCCTATCCCGTAAACACAAGTACCACTACAACTGTAATTTCAAAGCTCTAGCTTGAAGCTCCCTTTATTCCACTGGGAATTTAAATGAACAAAAAGAAGGGGGTTGTATGCAGCTGATGAGAACCAACGAAACTTGAAATGAATCCATACTATTCTACACCAGCGTTTGTTCTTTCTCTTCTCATATTCATAAAAAAAATTCTTGAACGAAACTCATTTATTAATTACTGTACATGACTTTGTTGATTTTTGAAAAAGTAATAATACTGCAGTTTGAATTTTCTGTAGCGATTGAGATCTACAGTGATAAACTAACAAATTCGAAGATGAAGAAGAAGTAGCAAACACCGAACTGAAAGTAAGCACAAAGAGGATAAAGGTTAGATATCGGTCAAGTGCTAAATAAGGAGAGGAAATCAATCGACAAGGTTGTGAAGTTACATCGATTGGGTTACATGGTTAGGACATGTGTTACACATACACACCTAGTCATCGCCTTCCTCGACAGCCACTGTTAGCTGACATAGTATCGATCAGGTTGAAAAAGAAAAAAGCCAGTGGAGATCAAACCAAAACACGCCTTCGTCAGTCAATGAAATCCATAACAGTTAGTTTAGACAACGTAGGGAGGTGTTAACTTTCTGGTTGAGGTCCTCAGGATGGTGAAAATCAAAGATTGCAGCAATCAGTGATATTGCTCAAAACCGTTCTCAGTGATGGCGCAGATGTATTCACTCTTGGTGATTTACAATATCCAATAAAGTTTTTTGTGTTCTTCCATATTACTATTTTTTCACTTAAATATTTGCTTATAATCTCTGTTTGAGTCTTTCTCTATTCTCTTCTTTTTTCACTTTTTTTACTACAGCTTAATTCCACACTGTATTTTTGGTACATTTGTGGAATTTTCAGCATGGATATCGGTAGCCCAAATTATCAGGTGTGCGTCGGCGTGGACTCGAACCGCGGACCATGTGCATGGTAGGCGAGAGTCCTAACCACTGTGCCACCGACTCAGGCTTTATGTACTACAGAGAATATGATTCCTGGAACTGCTGAACATTTGTGAAAAGTTCTATACTAAATCAAGTCGGTCAGTCAGTCAAAGCATAAGTTTTTCTAGGTGTTTTTCATTCCTCTTAACTCCAAATGGAATATAGGGCCTCAAGCCTTGAGCTTTGAAGTACCACTAGCAGTAACATCCTTTCCAGTGGTTAGAGTCGCTAGCCTCATACACAACCTTACCTCTTTTCCAAACTCACTATCAGCCAGGAAACTGGGGAATTTTTAGTAGTGCGTCAGCCAGGAGCTGAACCACAGCGACGTGGATGGTTTGCGAGTTTACTGGCGTTAAACGACGAATCAGGTTTCAGATTAGTTTGTGTATCAGTAAGGGATTGACAAAAAGAAACTTTGACAACGAACCAACTAATCACCGACTGCTTGATGAATATGCAGAAGGAACTGGTTTGGAAATATCCTCAGAATGAAGTTAAACGACGTCTCAGTCCAGGATGACAGGTGAAACCAGATTAGCAGATTACGAGCTGATTGTCCACCGTGGAAATGGACGAGACTATCTGAGGAGGAAACGAAGACTCATGAGTAATCTCACTGATAGTTACAAAAGATCATAAAGAACCAAGTCGGTCTAAATTACGAATTCTATTACTTTGATTTCCAAGTCGCAGTTTTGTAGAGATTTGTTTGTTTGATCGGCTGGAGGTTTTCATCACCATTGAGAAACCGCCCGGGAGTACTGGATTGCTGTTTCTTACCAGTTTCGGACACTTCACTAGCACGCATCTACCACCAAAGCTAGAACCCAGTAACTTCCAGTTACAAGGAGAACTCGTACACCATACAGCCACTGGAACCTGATTCAGCTGCCAGCCCATGATTTCTAACTTTTACCAATTCATGACATAGTGTTACCACTTTGCAATGTCTTCTTTCATGAGTTACTGCCGTGTCTTCATCCTGCTGTACCCTACTGGTCGCCGCCTTCCACCTGAACCTCAGGTTAACTGCCGGAATATGGCCGGTTGCTATCGGGCATCCGATTAACTTTCAAGTATTGGCTTTGGTGGGATTTCATTTGAATGGATGGAGGATTTCATTTGTCATAGATTCTAGATTTCTATATCAGGAAACACTCACAATGAACGTTTAAGTGAATAGATTTCACGGAGAAATATATCAAGAGGAAGGACACAAGAAACTGTTCTTTTTAAAACCCCAAAAAAAACAGGAAACTAAATTTTGCCTAAAGTTTTAGACAAAATCAAATTAATTTATCTTGTCATAATTCTTGGTTGTCACACACAAATACATCCTCTATTCTTTTAGTGTAACACTGACGCCTCAACGCATAGTATTCATAAATGCTTTAGGGAACGAATGTATCCAATGACGTTACCATAGTTACTCAATAAATATATCAAAGTTATTTTAATATATATATATATATATATATATATATATATATATATATATATAATTAATGTATTTCTTAAAAATAAAACGGTTTCTTTAATCTGGGTGGTCGTTACTATCTCTTCATAAATAATGAGTAATTTTGGCTGACTAGAAAGAACTATTTCCTTGTTTGGCTAAAAGGCATCAAGTTAAATAAAGAAAGATGGGATAAGAAAGGAAAACAAAAAGATTTCTTGCAATGTATGCTTATAAGTAGTATTAATTCACGAAGGTATTGCTAATTTTCACACTGGTATTAAAATATCCCTATAACAGAAGTGTCAAGTAGTAAAATACAGTGGGTAATATTGAGGTTACTGAGGTTAGGTGTTAAGTGTAAGGTTGAAGAGGGTAAGTCATTCAATGAGGTTCTGAAGTTACATTGACTGAGATGGCTAGGATACATGTTGAGCACGCTGAGCCATTGACTTTCTCCACATTAGATTAGGTCGGAAAATAGCTAAAGATGGTCAAACCAAAACTAAGAACCAGTCCGTAGAATCGTTGACAATTAGTTTCAGTTAACTATATAGATAGGTGAAGAGTGCCTGGTTGGGTTATTTCGTATACGAAGATCCAAGAAGATGCTAGGGACTTATGGCGGTACTACTAAAAATCATTTCACATGACTGAGATGCATTCCTTTTCTTGTGATTTCATAGATCCATTAAACTCGAATGTTTATCCATGTCTCACTCTCACATTTTGTCCGTTGAAGTGCTTTTCAGTCTTTTTTTACTCTTTTTCGTCTACTTTTGTGTGCTACATGGAATATGGTAACTTGGAATGCTGCACTTCTGCGTTAAGTTCTGCGTTGAATTTCACTCAGTCCGTGAGTAAGAATAGAACTGCCTATAGGCTTTGTAATAGTAAAATAAACAATTTCAGTTTCTTATTGAAACGTAGTGCTTGAAATCAATCAAATCTTTGTAAAACTAGCGACTGACTCTGAAGAACATTCAAGAACAAGTCGTAAATTTACAGTTGTTGTTGCTGCTTCCAAACAGTGAATATCCCATGGCCTACCTACTGCTTTCGAAGAACGAGACATGCGGGACTATGAGGTCATCGCTGAATTGTTGGGGGTCATGGCTTCAACGGCAAAGGTGGTCACACTGAGGACGCCTTTGATAGGTCGAGCGAAGGCGGAGTATGACAGTGTAAAGCGGTTAGGTGGGACTGAAATTGCGGAGGTATTGGTTGGATGACTGATTGTATAGTTTCACAGCCCAACAGAGAGAAAACTAACGATGCAACAGTTCCTTATCATGAAACTGAGACCAGACGGAGACTCTTTAATGTTCATTCCACTCGTCGTTTACTCTGCACACTGGATAAAGAATCGGAGTCGCAGCTATTGGCGTCCCGTTTATACCATCAAAAGAGGAAATAAACAGAAACGAGTAAACAATAACCAGCTGCAGAAATGGATTCAAAGAGACAAGGAAGCCGGGATAAAGGTACAACATGAACGGGTAGAACCAAGAAGGAGGGAGCAACTCCATTCAAAACAATTTGACAGAGGGAAGAGTGTGGCGAGTTCTAAGATTTGGCAGTACTATAAAAAGAGGCATTCATCAGCATAGAAACATCAAATAGCAGGAATATATATTCGATATCAGAGAAAGCAAATGGTAGAGAGTTGCGGAAATACAGGCAAGACGTGAGAAGAACACAAAGAAACACAACATGAAAGAAGGCCAGAAGTAACATAACACGGAAGATCTGCCCAAATGGTGACCTGAAAATAAGGTGTACATAATTTCGCTATATAGAGATACCCAAATGCAAGCAAACATTCCTTTGTCAAGTTTTTCGTCTTCTAATACTAATTATTATGAATGTAAAATTAAAATTAAGACTCCATAGAAATGGTTACAACAGTGTATTAATGACACGAAGAATAAACAAGGGCAGTGTATTTGCTGTCTCGGAGTAAGTTAGAAGTTTCATACCTAACCACTTTTACATCACACAAAATATGTACCGAGTTAGATGTCATAGACTTTTTTATACTAAGTCTTTCGAGCATGAAGTCTTTTATGATGGCATACAAGCAAGAGAAGAGTTGTGTATAAAGAAGATACTCGGTGTCCGACAAAGTGATATCCGCCGATATCTTGTATGAGTCCAATTACCTCCAAACAACAGTTTGAAGGAGTTTTGCTTTACCGACACCACACTCGCCCTACAAACAGCTTACACTGCCCTTCACTAGGTAACAAAGTCTCCCTTATGTACCCCAGAAAAGATTGAAAGGAAGCAATTAAAAAATAAGCAGAATACATGAATTTGAAAATAACTGTAAAAGACGAATTATCTTTTTAGAAATCAACTTGATGTGGGAAGACAAGGAGAGATCAGGGGAAATAAACAATCCAAGGTACTTAACATTCGACTTATTTTCAATTTCAGTGTCATCTTTGATACGAGAATCTCATGGAAAAAATCCAGTTCACATAAATCATGTCTGTGATTAAAGGTGAAATAAACAATCAGATGTTTGGAGGGATAGAGTTTTAGACTATTCAACAAGGACCACTGACTTATTTTTGCTAAAACAGTTAGTCATTTCGAAACACTCTGATCGGGAATAACTGTCAGATCATCGTTATATGTGACCGAATAGGCTTCATCAGAATTAGGCAAGTAAGCTATGCAAGAAAAAGGCAAACATAGGAGGAGGATCACCGGGTAGATTATTTTAAACAGTGGAAGACCATCCACTGCATACAGTGTACTAATTTCTGTCCGAAAAATAACACTAAAACCACTTGTAAGTTCAACACCCTGCATGTATCACAGCAAGCTTGTTCAACGAAAGAGGCCTGGGTATAGAGTCGAAGGTAGATAAGTAGTTAGGGAAGCCACAACACTTGTATCTGAACTGGGGACATTATTATAATGTAGGATGATAGTGGCATCTAAAGTACACTGGGAGATAATAGCACTTGGTCCACTCAATGATTTCGGCACGGGAACAATTTTAATATCGGTTAGGACGCTTGCCGACCATGCACATGGTCCGGGGTTCGATCCCCGACCACGGACGCACTCCTTTACCTCGCTAAGCCAGAAATAATGGTGGTAAAGAGGAAAGGTTGGGCATGAGGCTAGCAACCCCATCTTGTAAAAATTACCACAGCTACAGAAACTTCAAGCCTCTAGCTTGAAGCCCCATATTCCACTGGGGAACGTGAAGGAAAGAAGAAGACCAGCAAGCATTGGTAAAAAACTAAGTTTAAAATAATTTTTTAAACGAAGTTTGTTCTGAAACTGAATTGAATTGAGTTTTATTCACCTTCCGAAAAAATCTAAATAATAACAAACAACTCACATGTCCAATCAATGTTCTTGCAGGTTTATTCTCCATAATAACCAGAGGGTTAGGATTTAACACATACTCTGGAGGTTCATCATTCACATCCACAATAATGACAATAAGTTTTGCTAAAGCAAAAAACTCTCCATCACTTGCACGTACTGTAAAACTGTATGAATTACACTCTTCATAATCCAATTGTTCTTGTACTATGACTTTACCATTTGATTCAATTAAAAATTTCATTGTAGCATTTAAATCAACACCATTTTCCATAGTATAAGTAATTGTAGAATTAACATCCTTATCAGTTGCTTTTAGCTATACAGTGAAGTAAACAGAAATACAAAAAAAGAGATTCATTAAGCCGAAGCGCTGAATATCTAAATAAATAGAATAAGTTTTGAACAACTAACAGACTCTTCAATAGTACACACCATTAAATCTTATAATCTGAATAGCAATAGCCAGTTGATGAAATTCCTGAAGCTACAGTGGGAAGTCGTGACCTCTAGGATGCCTCATGTCAAGGTGAACTGAATGCTCGTCGAAGGCAGTGCCAAGGTGGTGCTATATGACGAATCGATTAAGTTGAAGCCCACAGGTAACTGGATTCCAGACAGCCTGATCTCATAAATTGAAGTTTCTGGCTTCTATCCGTGGTAGCGTTGTGAGTGGGCAATGTAGAAGAGGACCAGAATAGGACGACACAGCTGCCCAGTGCTTCCTGCTCTTCAGTAATCTGTCTAGTTGATGCTGGTGTTCATGACGAAAACCTACTAATTTAAATGAATTCAAAATCTCCACGAACCGTTTTATAATCCCTTTGTGGTCTGCACAATCTTAACCGACAGCGTACGGTTGATCAAGGGACAAGATGAACAAAAAAGACAAAATCTGGCATACTAAATGTTACGTCTTACTAATTATTGTTTGAAAATCCAAATTTCAGACTTTCTTTACTCAAGGTTTACTCATCTCATGTTAGTAAAATGACCTGGTTGATGATATTTTTAGTACAAGTTGTGAAGGTTCAGTGTGAATCTTCCTCATTGAACTGCCTTAAATTCCATGAAGTTCCGTTAAATAAGTAAACCTCAACTGAAATTCATAGGGCAGTGGAGAATATGACTGATCTTAAAATATCCATCATATGCTACTTAAACTACCTACGATGATGAGACCTTATTTAATATTAAAATTCCCAGCTAAAAACTTAAATTAAGTGATGTTTTATTCAGCGGTATTTAAGAGTTTAATTCTAAGGACTTCCAATTAGAAATCGATATTATAAACAGAAGACCATGTAGCACCCAAATTCAAAGCTCGTCTCAACTGTCGGCAGCACAGATGGGACTGTTAAGCAGAGAAGTTTGGTAGCTAGGAAGATGTCTGTTTTTTTCTGAAATCAGAGTGCAGATCGATACGACTCGGCAAAAGAAACGAGATCTACATTTTCAACGCTAATGCCAAGTCACTGCTTCTTTTTGGATGCAGAATTGGCTTACACATCACCAAAAGCATTTGAAAAAGCCTGCCGTAGACATTCACCAACAGCTCCCCCCCCCGAATCGACGGCTCAGTACTAAAGATCAGATAGCTGACGAGAAAGAACGCAACAAATATGTAGAATCACGAAAAATGCCCATTTATTCATAAGTAAAAACACAGTGTTTTGTTCAGCGGAAAAAATTTCTTTTCAACGATTTCATTTTCAAGCTGTACAGTAGTATTTATATTGCAGAAAAAGTTATTAAGTGGCACCAAAAAAATAATTGTTCAGTCAATATACATACATAAGTGATAAGAATAACGATAATTAAAATGTTATAAGGGGTAAAGTTGAAGTGGATGAATTATAAAATTATTAAAAATTGTTTAGGCACACACTGCAGGGATACCATCGAGTGACATCACAAGAGTGAAGACGACAGATTGAAAAAAAGATACCTTAGTGAAGTGCTATATTCCACTCAAAACCCGATTGACTAGCAATAATAACAATAAGCCTCATAAATTTGTATATGAAATAAGCCTTAGATATGGGGGCATAAAATGTTTCGCCTAAACATACTGTCCAGTTTTATTCTACCTTATGTGCAAATTATTTCTCCTACTCATAAACAAAAAAGCGGAGAAGAACGATATTCAGCGATCTATGCTATTCACTCAAACATTGGAGACACCATTTACAGATAAGTTCAAATATTTCATTGTACACAAGAGATAAAAGTGAAGGAATGAAACTGTGAATATCTGACTAGAGTAGAGAGAAATTTCAACGTGATAATATGACAAATAAAATACCCTTTTCTTTGTTCTCTTATGTTTTAAAATTGAAGTGTCCCTTATTTTTTTTTACAACTTTTCTCACCTTACCGTAACATGAGTGGAAAGATCTCACACTACTACATTTTTCAGAAATGTTATCGATCAGACAAGAACAGTATTATCGAAATTATTTCAATCTATGTTTTACAAAATACACTTTTGCCGTCACACATAGATGAGAAATGAAATTACATGTAATGATTTTTATGAATTAAAGATAGAATATTCTAATAAAGTCTTGTGTGTACTAACTGACCCACTTAAAGCTAGGCCAGCTGTTAACTCCTGTGACAAATCAATCAATTTTAAGTGTTGGTTTTGAAGAGTTTTCTTTGTCTGATTGGATGGAGGATTTTGTCATCAGCTGACATCAGTTAGAGAATCCTTGAAAAATCACCAATGAGTACTGAACTGCTTCTTTGTCTGCATTCTTTTGAGACTCTTCTGCAGTAGACATCCACCACACTGGTTCGAATCCAGGACCTTCTGGTTACAAGGTGAGCTTGTAGACCATTAAGTCACTGAGATCCGGTCCAATGGTTCATGATTTCAAACTTCTACCAATAAACAACATAACGCTACCAGTTCGCAATGTCTAGTGGTTCTACTAAGAAGCCGTGATCAGTAGGGTAGAGTCCTCTTTCTTTATTTATTTTTATTTCTTTTATTTTAGATTACAGCTTGATTCCACACTGTATTTTTGGTACAAGTATGAAATTTCAGCATGGATATCGGTAGCCCGAATTTTGCAGGCCGACCATAGATATCAGGTGTTCGTCGGCAGGGGATCGAACCTCGAACCACGTGTATGGTTGGCGAGATCTCATTTCTAACTGTAGGTTTAATATCCACACATCTTTTTAGATTAGATGAAGAAATCTCTAGAAAGATGAAATTGTAAAGTATGAATCATAAATTTGAGAAAGTAAGGCTTCAGACTAAATTTATTTGTTTAAGATCAATTTTGACGTGTTAATTCAACCGATAAGATCTCAAGGAGAGTACAACTCCTCGTCTATAGTAAGTCATTCTGTAAAGTGTCAATTAACGTATACTTCGTTATCCAGTGAATGAGTTGAAAAAAATGCAAAAATATCCGCATAAGCATTTCAGAAGTTTACACAACATGATATAAATGAAATCATGTCAGAACGAATATCATTTGACGTATGCAATTCAGTTTTTAGATGTAAATTTTGGCGTATTTTTATGCATATTGATGAGACTTCGTGAAAGTCAAATTATTCTCCTAAAATAAAGTTGATGTCACACTGTTAGACTTTTATAATACTTCATATACTTGGTTACTTTAATAAATTTTGATATAGAAGGAAAGACCAAATCTGCAGTATAAAATAATGTCATCATCGCATTTCACAGGTTCTCATCAACTGTAAATTACAACGGTTATAAATAATGACAATGACATACTTCAATGTTTAAATGGCAGTAGAGAAAATATTATAAATTTAACGCATCCTTAATGTTGTAAGCATTGCAATTTTTACTTTAGGTTGCCATTAGTTTCCTGTGCTTTCGAAATAGAAAAGAAGGTGAAGAGGAGTGGAAAAATCTAATATACAGAGAATGGAAGGAACAGTGAAAAGGTGATTTCCCCCAGCTACGCTTGCAACACTCGACAACACCGCATGCTCTATAAGCCAGTCTAAGGTGGTTACTACCCGAATGAAATCTAATCCAAGAGAGAGGGCTTCTATCGAATTCTCATACCACATCCCAAGGAAGCAGAAATTCACAAAGGGTAATTACCAAACACCTTGTTCATACGGGTCATTTCATCTAGATTTCAAAATCTCTCTAAACATGAAATATGCAAAGGATAGCAAATTTACAACGATTAACTGCTGAAGCAGTTGTAGTCAAGTATTTCAAACGAAACGTACGCATACGCAGAAAGAGAGTGTAACAAATCCCTCACTCCCCTAGTAACTAAATTTTGAATGCACTGATTAGTCATCCATATTGGTGGTTTCAGCTCACTTAACGTGCTTTCAATCTCCAGTTTTTATGTGAATTTACAAGTTAACACGGTTCATTAGATTTTTTCCTATATTCTGTCTTCCCCCACTCGTCCCTGTCGTTTCGATGGCGACTTCATTTAAAAATAGTAATGTCTATGACATTTCGGATGCGTAAACTTTTTATAAGATTTTCTCTATTAACTTTAAGACAGTGAATTATGTTATTTCTATTCTCTTATAGCCACTGCGATTCTAAGTGGTTTGCAGATGATGAGGACCTGTGAAATAGGATGATATTATTTTATGAAGCGCACTTCGAACAAACTACAGACCTTCATCAACAGCTGTCTTCACTCAATAATCAAGATAAGATGGCCAGAAAAAATCCCCGACAGGGATATCTGGCAATGAACAAACTAACACAGCATGAAGGAATAGATGGAGGTGGGTCGGCCATAATCTGAGAAAACAAACCATCAAGTGACATCACACGCTAGTTTATTGCTGGCGCGGAACCCAAACGGGAAGCGGCGAGTCGGCCAGCAGTTCGAGGGTGAGGTGACATGAAGGAAGTCATGTGAAGAGTAGATGGAGGCATGTAGGCAGAAGTGGAGACAGATAAAAAGGTTAGCGAAAAACCAGGCTCATTGGAGACATGCGGCTGAATCCCTATATTCCTCTGGGACCCAAAGAGACAATAATAATAATAATTTTATACTGCCATTTTGGCCATTCTTTTAACTGAAACTTTTATAATAAATCAGTTTATAGGATTACTTTCCGCAAGGCAAAGATAAAAACTAGTTATAATTTCTACATAACTACATAACAATTTCAAACATAAGTTGTGTGAAGACATTAAGTCTGAAGAGGATCAAAGAAGTCATTAATTTTCATTCTGTTTTTGTTGTTGATATTTTTTTAAGGATTGTAGTAACCTAAAAGTTTTTATTTCAATTTTTGTAAATCACTCAATTTGAAGTGACATTTATCAAAAATTAACTAGTC